AGAAAAGGATTAGAAAACGATTAAACAAACATTGAACATTTCATTCCAGGTTACTGAACGAAAGGTAGAAGAATCTATTGAAAAAAGTAATTCTATTTTTCATTTATTAAATTTTAGAGAAATGTAGAAACATTTATTGAATTACTTAAAGATAATCGAATACATGAATTACTTGATAATGATACTCAAGAGGAAAATACAACAAAACGTTCAATAACCTGGAATGAAATGTTCAATGTTTGTTTAATCGTTTTCTAATCCTTTTCTCTTTATTATTCTATCGAAAAATTTCAGGTTATTCGAGAATATACGATCAATGAATTAGCTAATATTCGAACAAAATCATCAAAAACTTTATCATCTGATACCAAATATCAAGAAGCACTTAAATTATTTAAAACTCTTATAGAAAATGCCAATGCACGTATGTATTGATATCTAATTATGAACATTATAACTTTAAAAAAGAAATTTCTTCTTTAAGGTGCTCCTGAACTTGATGGTCGTCCTTTAATTGAATCAATTATTTCAATAATAACCAGTGATGCTTGGTTATCATGTACAATTGTAATCAAAGAACTTAGTCATTTGTTAATTAATAATGTTCTTTGCTCTCATAAATATGTCAACGAATTACGTGAACAAGAATGGATTGGTAAAAGCAAAAACAAAAGTTTCATTTATATATTATAATATCTTGTTTTATTTTTTTTAATTAGATTTATGTGAGTTAAATATGACATTATCAAAAAATCAAAATAAATCATTTCATGAAAGTGATCAAGCACTTTATAGTTCATATTTAAAATTTCTCATAGAGAAATTAGTTGTTTATAATGATTTAGATTCAAGTAAATCAACTATTCGAAAAGATTTATTTGATTTTCTGCATATTGAAATTGAACAATTAAAGTTTGTATTAAATAAAGTAAAAAAAAAAACTCTTTTGAAATTTTTTTTAATATGTAGAAATTCTAATCATTTTTCTGTTATTGAAAATTTAC